AATGATATGAATAGACAGTTTTCCAATGAAGAAATCAAAGCAATTTATAGTCATATGAAGAAATGCTCTAAATCATTATTGATTAGAGAAATTTAAATTAAAACATCCTTGAGATATCATTTTATACTTATCAGATTGTCTAAAATGATGGAAGGGAAAGCAAAAAATGTGGGAGGGGATGTGGAAAAATTGGGACACTAATTCATTATTGGTAGAACTGTAAACTGATCATTTTGGAGAACAATCTGGAACTATGCCCCAAGAGTTATTAAACTGCTTATATCCTTTGACCCTAGCAATACCACTACTAGGTCTATTTCCAAAGATGATCAGGGAAAAAGGAAAAGAACCTGTATGTTCTAAAATATTTAGAGCAGCTCTCTTTGTTGTGACAATGAACTGGAAATTGAGGGGATGCTCATCAATTGAGGAATGACTGAACAAATTGTGGTATATGATTGAGATGGAATACTACCGTGCTATAAGAAATGATGAGTTCATTGATTATAGAAAAAAATGGATAGACTTGCATGAAATAATGAAGAGCAAAATGAGCAGAATCAAGCGAACATTGTATATAGTAACAGCAATATTGTTTTAAAACAACTTCAAGTGACTAAGTCATTTTGACTATTATAAATACCCAAATTAACTACAAAGGACCTTTGAACATCCAAAGAAAGAACTGATAGATACAAGTATGTATAGAATGATTTTACATATTTGTATACATACATACACACACAAGTATATAACGGTAGACACCTCTAGGGCAAGGAAGAAAAAAAGGGAAGAAAGAAAGTTATATGATAACTTTAGTATGTATTTAAAAGGAATAGCAAGTTGACATAATAGATTTGCAGTTTTATGTGCAATAGTCTTTTTTTAAAAATTCTACTATGTTATGGAAATGCTTGTGTTATTTCACAAATTAAAAAATTTAAAAAGAATAACTTATCCAGCAATACTAAGTATAATTCTCTTTTTTTCTTTGTCTTTTGTTTTTGGTGAGGCAATTTCCGGTTAAGTGACTTGCCCAGGGTCACAAGCTAGTAAGTGTCATGTATCTGAGGCTGGATTTGAACTCAGGTCCTTCTGACTCCAAGGCCAGAGCTCTATCCAGTGTGCCACCTAGCTGCCCCTATGATTCTCTAAGAATGTACAAAATACTTATAGCTCTTTTTGAGGAGACAAAGAATGAGAGAAGGGGGAGTGTTGTTCATAAATTGAAGACAGAGCAGCTAGGTGGCCCAGGGGCTAGAACACTGGCCAATCAATAAGACATCTTCATGAGTTCAAATCTGACCTCAGACACCAGCTGTGTGACCCTATGCCAGTCACTTAACCCAGTTTGCCTCAATTTCCTCATCTGTAAAATGAGGTGGAGAAGGAAATGTCAGACCATTGCAGTATCTTTGCCAAGAAAACACCAAAATGGAGTCACAGACCATCAGACATGACTGAAATGATTGAACAACAGACATAAATTGGGGAATGACTGAGTAACTTATGGTTGATAAATGTGATAGAATATGATTATGTTTCAAGAAATGATGAAGGATATGGTTTCAGAGAAACCTGGGAACACTTGTATGAACTGAAACAGTGATATAAACAGATCCAGGAGAACAGTAGTGTAAAGAAAAACAACTTTGAAAGAACTAGGGGAGCAGCTAGGTGGCACAGTGGATAGACCACCAGCTCTGGAGTTAGGAGGACCTGAGTTCAAATCTGAAGTCAGACACTTGACACTTAACTAGCTGTGTGACCCTGGGCAAGTCACTTAACCCCATTGCCTAGGCCCCCCAAAAAACAAAACTAGGAACTCTGATCAATGACTAACCACAATTCCATGTTACCCACTTCCAGATATAAAGGTAAAAAATTGAGAGTTTATTATTACATATATGTGTATACATATATGCATATACACATAAATATATATTTCTGGGTGTTTTCTTCTGGAAATGGCCAATGTGGAATTTTTTTTTTTTACTATAGTAATGGGAATTTTATTTCCTTTCACTCTCAAATCAGGGATGGGAGGGAAAAAGCAAATGTTTGCTGATTGAAAAAATAATTTAAAAAGAAAATAATTGGTAATTTTGGAAAGAAGCTTCAGTTGAATGATGAGGTAGGAAGCCAGACTGTAGAGAGTTGAAGAGTGACAGGAAATTAATTGGAGGCACTCATTACAGAAAGTCTTCTCAAAGAGTTAAGCCACAAAAAGGAGAGATATGGGATGATAGCTAGAAGAGATGAATTCCCATCAACAGTTTTGTTTTTGAATTGGAGGAAGAGCATGACTATGTTTTTAGACAGTAAAGAAGCTTCTAGTAGGCAGAAAAAAATTGAAGATTAGTGAGAGTGGGGATCATAGAGGAGAAATTTGTTGAAGATGGAATGTAATGAAATCCCTTGTGAAAGAGAAGGGCTGCCTTTTTATTTGAGAGAGATGGAGGAGAGTAGAGTGAGGGAAGGCATCTGCATTTCACGAGAGGTGTGGAGAGAAAGGTGGAATAAAGGATTCTCAGCTGAGGAGGAGGGAGGAGTAATGGGTGGAGGAGGCATGAAAAAAATTGGAAAAGCTAAATGTGGTAGACATATAGTAGACACTTAATAAATTTTTTTTGACTTGACTTCCTGATGCCATCTCACAGTTGCTAGTGCCTTTCCTCTGACCCACAAAATGACCTTGTATTTATTGTTTATATTTATGAGTCTCCCAATAGAACTTCAAGAGAACAGGAAAGTGTTTCCTTCTTATCTTTGTACCCTAAGTTTTAAGCACAATGACTGGCATGTAGTGGTGCTTAATAAATGCTTGTTAGTTGTTAGAGCAAATGCCTCCTTGCCCATCTCCGCCTATTGACACTTTTCTTTCCTATCCAAGGCTCAGCTTAGATGCTTATTTTTCCCTTATTGCCCCAACTATAAGTCATCTCTTCTTTGCTTAGCACAATGTTTTGCACATGGTAGGCACTTAAAATATTTGTTGAATTTTAACTCATATTAATTATACAGGCTTTCCGAAGTTTAATCAACAATGGGTGTATCCCTTTCACTTAGAAGAGCACTATCAAAATTCTACATAGTTTAAATCAATAAGAAATAACTAACATAAGGTCAGTTAAACAATGTCTAAAAAAACTTGAGTTCAATGGTCAATAGCTAAAATGCCTCATCTTCCTTTCTAGTCTTATTCCACACTACTCTTCCTTTACATACTCATGTTCTAGTCAAACTGACCTGCTTGCTGTTCTCCATATGTGACATGCCATCTCCCACCTTCACTGTTTTTGCATAAATGACTCCTCAAACCCTGGAATTCACCCCTTCCTCATCCATTCTCACATATTAGAAATTCTAGTTTCTTTCAAAGTATAGCTTAGATAATACCTCTTACATGAAACCTGATCCTCCAGCTAGCACTCTCATCCTTGAAATGACTTTAAATAACATTACATATGCTTTGAATTTGCTTATCTGTGCACTTCTCAGGCCCTGTAGAACTCAAACTCCTTGAGGTCAGGGACTGTTTTATTTTTGCCCTGTGTGCCTGCCTGGCACAGTGCTTGAACTTAAGTTTCAAACTCTGAAAATCTGGTAAATGTGTCTCATAAGTTCAGCCACACTGCTACCTAGGATTATAAACCTGGAAGACAACAACAATCTTAAAAATCTCAATTCCAGGAATCTCCTCAGTCTTCACTCTTCATTCTTCTTTTAGGATGAAATCTTAACACTTCTCAAATGCCATCAGGCTTCTTGTACAGCAGTAGCCTTCCATTATACATGTTAGATGCACATTATTTAAGTTACTAAGTGATTGTGTCTCCTTAGGTCATTCATTCAAAACCTACAAACGTCATAATTCCAGAACACTTCATGCTCCTGAAGGAGGAAAGTTCAAGAGGGGAGGGAAGAAGAGAAGGAAATAATTTAGCTTAAATAGAATGACCCTTACACCCATACAACCTCTTATACTCCAGAAACTTTATAGCTGTTGATCGCATGAACTCTTAAGAAGGACCTTTCAGACCTGGCATTCATCACCTTTCAACTTGAGTTAAAGACAATAGATATACAAACACAGATTCAATCCCTGGAGATAGAGACAAAAATGTATGAAATATGCAAGATGGTTTGAAACATCCCACTTAAAAATGCACTACAGAATTCCTTTTTTTTTCTTACCCCAAACCCACACAAATAAGACCCCCCTATCTCTATTAGAGCTGCCTCTGAAAAATTCACTTAGCTCCCAATCCCACACAGCACATTTTTGATTCTGGGCTGTGGCAGCTGGTTTGCTTAGCTGTGTACATTAGTAAGGTGTTCCCACCTAGTCTCATGGGGCGGAGCTCTGGGCTGGGCCGACCATCACCAGGATGTCACCGAGGAGCCCCAGAATGAAACTGGTGGTAGGGGCTCTCAGGCTTCACCGCTTCTGACCCCAATTCTTCCGAAATCTCCTCCTCTTCCGCCAACCTTTTCATTTCACCTCTTTGTACAAAACAGAAGACTTCTCTTTTTTCTAAACTCCACCTCCCAAAGATCTGCCCCTCTGGTTTCGGGGGTCTCAGGGGAAGAGAAGAAAGGAGAAGGAGAGGTGAGATAGGACGAATCGTAGAAACCCAGCTCCAGGGTCTCCTCTCTGTCTATAGAAATTATGTACCCTCCGGTGCCCGCTAGTGAGTAGAATAGAGCCTCCTTCCTCCCTTGGCACTCTCGCAATTCTCTTTTCGTTTTTTTCTTCCCCTTCCCCCTCCCGCACCCGCCTCCATTCATACAACTGGTAGCAGGTGCATCTGAAGAGCTCTTGCATCCAAAACAGCAAAACAGACAGGCTGCTTCTCTTGCTTACTTGATGGTCCTCCATACCTCCGATTCCTACCCACGCTGGCAGGTCTCAACACCGACCTTTTCTAAAGGCAAGGTCATAATAGCATACGAAGCAGAACGCCTGCAACAGTTCGCTAGCCCCTCTCCAGCCTTACCTATGGGCGACCAAAAATTGCTTCTCTTCTAGCAGCCAAACAGTTTTCGCGTACACCGGCATTTCCTGCTGTCCTGACACTTCCTGGAGTGACTGAGGTGGCAGGCAGGAGCGGCTCCGGCCAGGGTCTGCCTCCTCTCCCCCCTTTCACTTTCATTCTATTTCTGCAGGTCTCCGAAACGTCAACGCCTACCGGAGCCTGCTTAGCCTGGCTTGACTCTTCCTCCTCCTCCCTTCCCACATCACCCCCACCACACCACTTGCTAGACTGGCTTTCAAACCAATAGAACCACGGGCTGTACAATGCAAACAAAGAAACTAGACTAGTTCTTGCTTTTCTCACACAAATTTGTCTTGTTTCCTTCAACACTACCAAAAAAATCACTACAATTTCGTTTTTCCTGAACTACATGGAATTGGAAGTCTAGCGATAGAGTAGCATAGACATTAAGTCCTAAAATAATTTTCAAAAGAAGAATTGCAAGCTATTATTCATAAGAAAGATTGCTTAGAACCATTAACAGGAAAAAAGGCAAATCAAAACAACTCTGAAGTTTTACTGATTATCCAACACACCGACAAAAATGATAAAATGTGAGAATAGTCATTGTCAGAGAGGTTGTAGACCAACTGGGACACATGCACTATTGATAGAATTGTGAAGTAGAAATTGATTAAAATATTCATATTCTTTGACCCAGAGCTCTCCTGCTAACAATATACCCCCAAGGGTCAATGATAAAAGAAATATATACTTCAAAATATTTCATTCATCCATTCGTTTGTATGCTTAAAGCTGAAACTCTCTAACTTACCCTGTAAGTATGGGGCTACTCGCACAGATCAACTTGGGAGCATTGTTTGCCCTTCCATAGACAATCTGCTCCCAGAGGCTCACCACATTAATGCCAAATTTAGTGTGAACACTCAATCAGTATAGTCTATTGCAGCTTAGAATCCCTAAATTCAAGAGACCCATTAGCCTCAGCCTCCCCCTAGAAGGAATTATAGGTGCATACCATCTCACCTGGCTACAGCAAAATATTTATAGCAGCACTTTGTCTTTTTTGTAAAGAACTGGAAACAAAGTTAGATGTCTATCAATTGGGGAATGACTAAAGAAGTTGTGGTACATGAATGTAATCAATTATTAACCTTAAAATACTGTGAATGTAATGAATACAAAGAAGCATAGAAAGATATAAATGGATACAATATACACAATGATTACAACAATGTAAATGGAAAGAACTCTAAAGAAGAGATAAGAGTTTACTTTTTTCCTTACAGAGGTGAAAGAACTGTGGTGGTAAAACTCTCTACATAATATATTTGGTTGCTATATTGGTTAGTTTTTCTGTTCTTGTCCCTCCTTCCCTTTTTAATTCTTTGTTATAAAGGAAGGCTCTTTTGGAGGGGAGTGGGAGGGGTATTTTGGAGAACAGGTAATATGAGAACAAAAGATAATCAATAAAACACAAGAAAAATGAAAATTCTCCACTCCCAACATTGTGAATGTTTTGAGGAAGATAAAATAAATTCCACTAAGAATTTCTCTTTGTTCTCTCTCAGCTAAACAGCATCTGTTTCAGTTCCATGGGGCTCTATGATTTTGCTCTGCCAGATGGCTCCTTTCCTTTACCTCTATGTTGAGTACACTGATTGATAGTTTCTGAGCCCATTATTATTTGCAAAATGTTATTCCTACAATAGCACAGTAAGTTAGTGAATCCTCATATTACAGACAAGTAAATTGAGTATCAATAAGTTTATGAGTTGACCACAGACATGCAACAAAAAAATTATCACAGCTGGAACATGAACCCCAAGATTCTCTCAGTCCTCTGCTCTTTCATGAGAAAGAGCTGTCCCATCTTTCCTATACTACTTTATATACAACGTATGATGCTTATATACAAATTTAGAAGTGTTTTCACATAATTCATTTGTTATTTCCAACACTCTTTTGAGTTACAAAGGGCAGGTATCATTGTCAACCAAAAGTCTCATAGAAACAGCCAAGATAAATTTTGCTTAACAGAATGAAAGATTTTGTTTGTTGATTACAATTTAAAAAATGTACTTTAAGACTAGGTAAAGATCTCTGGCTTCCTTCAAGTTTTAGATAAAGTCTTACCTTCCATAAGAAACCTTTCTGGATCCCTTTAATGTTAGTGCTTTCCTTTATTATCTCCAATTTCTCCTGTACATATTGAATTTGTAATGTAACTGTTTTTTGTGTTGTCTTTCTCATTAGACTTGAGAGCAGGGACTGGTTTTGTTGTTTTCTTTTGTCTTTCTTTGTATCCTCGGTGATAGGCACAGCACTTATCACATGGTAAGTGCTTATACTCATGCTTATAATAGCAATAATATGCTTATAATAGCAATAATATGCTTATAATGCTTATAAATGCTTGTTGACTTCTTGACAATAATATAGAATGCTTTAGGATAACTTAAGTGCTTGTCTTTATATACATTATTTCTTTTCATCCTCAAAACAACCCTGTGAGGTCAATCCCATAGTTATCATTGGTCCCATTTTATAGATGAAACTGATGCTGGGAGTATTTAAGCCACTCACCCGTGGTTATGTAGCACCGGAGTTGGGATTCTTTCTCGATACCAAGTCCAGCATTCTTTCCACTTCATTATGTGCCTTTCATCTCAGAAAATTTTGTTAATAAATTGAATATTTAAATTAATTAACATTTTTGTAAGTAAAATAATTAAAAAGACTGCTATGTTGGGAACTTTTGTAAAAAGTCCTCCCCCTCCCCCCCTTTAAAAGCAGCATGGTATAATGGAATGAGTACTGGGTTAGGATTCAGAATTCAGATTCAAATCCCAGCTTTGTTGCTTCCTAATTGTTTGATCCTGGACAAGTCATTTACCTTCTCTGGACTTCAGGTTCTTTTTCTATAGATGATCACTACATTTGTGTATATATATATATATATATATATAGTATATATATGATATACATGATACACTTCCATTTACAACCCATCCATCTGCCTGCCTACCTAGGTCATCTTATGTCTGTTCCTCCCAACCTGCTTCTCCTCACCTGGTACGGGACCCTCGACGCTGGATCACCACACTGGGAACTTCCTGAATGCAAATCCCCAGTCATTGGGGAAATTAATCCATTGATCTTGGGAGCTTCCATCCTAGAGCCTAAAATTTGGTTGCTTCATATCTTTCTATCTAAACTATCCCACCTAGCCTTCAATGTCTGGGAGCTGGCCCTTGGCATCAGACCATGAGTTAGCCACACTTTCTAACCACCCATCCACCTAGGCCTTCTTACAATCTACCTCCCCACCCCAACACCTATTTTCAGCTTTCCACCTCCCAAGAACAAAACTTCCCTGATCGTCCCACTATTATTTGTGTTGTCTTCCCCCATCAGAAGGCAAACTCCTTGGGGGAAGGGGACTTTGATTCTCTCTCCCTCCCCCACCCCCTTCTCTTTTTCTTTCATTCCTAGTGCTTAACATAATGCGTGGTACAAGTAATACTTAATACATTTTTCATTCATTCATCTAGCCATCTGTTTTTTAAAGTTTTATTTATTTTATTCTGAATTTAAGAAATAAAACAAGCATTTCCATAACATAGTAGAATAGAAAAAAAGATGATTGCACATGAAACTGCAAATCTATTATGTATGACTTGTTATTCTTTTTAAATATATAATCAAGTTTTCATGTAACTTTCGTTTTTTCTATTCTGCCCCCTCCCCCAGTATTAGTGATGGCTACCATTAGACAGAAATATGTATATATATATATATATATATATGTATGTATGTATGTGTGTATATATACCACACATATATATGTAAAATCATTATTTATATATATATACTTTGGTTTATCAATTTTTTATCTGGATGCAGATTGCATCTTTCTATATATTCTGAAATATTTATCCATCCATTTTTGAAGTCTCTAAGTACTCTAAATCCTATATGATTTTTTAAAATCTAATTTTATCTTTATGTGTGGTAGGGAATGAATGGGCCTGCTAAGACTATTCCATGAAGCCTGTTTCTAGAGGCTTCCCTAGAAATTCTCAGGGACCCTGAGGACATTGCCTGAACCAGGGGTGGAGAACCTGTGGCTTCGAGGCCACATGTGGCCCTCTAGGTCTCAAGTGTAACCTTCTGACTGAATCCAAACTTTACAGAACAAATTCCCTTAATGAAAGGATTTGTTCTGTAAAACTTGGACTCAGTCAAAAGGCCACACTCAAGGATCTAGAAGGCCACATGTGGTCTCAAGGTTACAGGTTCCCCACCACTGCTCTGGACCTTTAGGTTCTGAAGAACTACCTAGATGGTCCTGACCAGAGAGTAGCTCAGTGTTGAAAGGATTGGACATTTAGAAATACATGGAAAGCCCTCAGTAGCCCCGTAGGCCTATTCAACCTTTACTATGTATAAATAAATCCACATCATTATTTTCTAGGTCTAATTATATTAAGATACAACTCTACTACATCATCAGTGGAAGAAGTAGAGTAAAGCATAGTTAAATTGATTACAATTTCAGCAGGGATGTTTTTGTACTTCCTATGTTAAACTGATATAAACTCATATTATGCTTAAGCCTTAACTTATGCATTCAGTTTTTTCTTGCCTGTATGATCAAGACCAAAGGTCAACATGACATAATTGCCAATGCACAGAAAAGGCATAGCTACCATATAACAGCTTGGGAATCCTTAGCAGTGGTAAGAGTTATTACAGGACTTTGACCTGGTAAACCAATTTATGCCCTCTACAGCCAACACTCATCCTTTTGTTTGTGATTATCATGAGGAAAATAGTATGATTCAATGGAAAAAGCACTGGATTAGGAATCAAAGTACCTGGGTTTGTTGGCTCTGCCACCTTGATCTTCAACAAGTCACTCAACTTTTCTGTCCCTCACTATCCAAGATTGATAGAGTGCTGAACCTGGAGTCAGGAAGACCTGAGTTCAAATCTGGCCTCAAATACTTACTAGTTATATGACCCTGAGCAAGTCACTTAATTCTACCTCAGTTTTTTTTTTTAACTGTGAAATGAACTGGAGAAGGAAATGGCAAACCACTCCAGTATCTTTCCCAAGAAAATTTCAAATGAGGTCATGA